CTCCTGAACTCCACACCTCTAAGTGAGGAGGTGTGAGGATGAGAGATTGTTGACATGTGAGTATCTGCGCTGATGAGCCAAAACATTATGACCAAGCATGTGAGTATCAGATGAGCCAGAACATTATGACCAAGCATGTGAGTATCTGATGAGCCAAAACATTATGACCAAGCATGTGTGTATCTGATGAGCCAAAACATTATGACCAAGCATGTGAGTATCAGATGAGCCAAAACATTATGACCAAGCATGTGTGTATCTGATGAGCCAAAACATTATGACCAAGCATGTGAGTATCAGATGAGCCAAAACATTATGACCAAGCATGTGAGTATCTGATGAGCCAAAACATTATAACCAAGCATGTGTGTATCTGATGAGCCAAAACATTATGACCAAGCATGTGTGTATCTGATGAGCCAAAACATTATGACCAAGCATGTGAGTATCAGATGAGCCAAAACATTATGACCAAGCATGTGAGTATCTGATGAGCCAAAACATTATGACCAAGCATGTGAGTATCAGATGAACCAAAACATTATGACCAAGCATGTGTGTATCTGATGAGCCAAAACATTATGACCAAGCATGTGAGTATCAGATGAGCCAAAACATTATGACCAAGCATGTGTGTATCTGATGAGCCAAAACATTATGACCAAGCATGTGAGTATCTGATGAGCCAAAACATTAAGACCAAGCATGTGTGTATCTGCACTGATGAGCCAAAACATTATGACCAAGCATGTGTGTATCTGATGAGCCAAAACATAAGGACCAAGCATGTGTGTATCTGATGAGCCAAAACATTATGACCAAGTGAAGCGAATAACGCTCATCCTCTCCTATCACAGGCACATGTAAAGGTCTGGGTAGATTAGATGTAGATGCAAACAATCAGTTATCGTAGTCAATGTGTTGGATGCAAAATAATTGGGCAGGAGTGAAGACTTGAGTCACTTTGACAACGGGCCAAATTGATGAATCGACCAAGACCGTTGACATTGGCCCTCTTCTTTTGTCCAACGATAAACGCTTCAACCATGTCATAAATTGAGTTCAGTGTGTTACTTATACAATCTATATATTGGGCTTTTGCGTCACCTCTTGGTTGTGAGTGATGTGTGATATTTTGGGATGCTATGAAGCATAAGGGAAAGCTGGGTATTTGTCACTCACAATGCTCGACTAAAATTTCACTTCAGCTTTAAGCTCAACCAATCTGAAGGAAGTTTGTGGAGAGCTGCAATTAGTAACAATGCACACAGTGATCAACACTGCACCCTGAGGTCAACACTGCACCCAGTGATCAACACTACACCCTGAAGTCAACACTGCACCCAGTGATCAACACTACACCCTGAGGTCAACACTGCACCCAGTGATCAACACTACACCCTGAAGTCAACACTGCACCCAGTGATCAACACTACACCCTGAGGTCAACACTGCACCCAGTGATCAACACTGCACCCTGAGGTCAACACTGCACCCAGTGATCAACAATACACCCTGAGGTCAACACTGGACCCAGTGATCAACACTACACCCTGAGGTCAACACTGCACCCAGTGATCAACACTACACCCTGAGGTCAACACTACACCCAGTGATCAACACTACACCCTGTGATCAACACTACACCCAGTGATCAACACTACACCCAGTGATCAACACAACACCCTGTGATCAACACTACACCCAGTGATCAACACTACACCCAGTGATCAACACTACACCCTGTGGTCAACACTACACCCAGTGATCAACACTACACCCTGTGATCAACACTACACCCAGTGATCAAAACTACACCCAGTGAGCAACACTACACCCAGTGATCAACACTACAACCTGAGGTCAACACTACACCCAGTGATCAACACAACACCCTGTGATCAACACTACACCCAGTGATCAACACTAGACCCAGTGATCAACACAACACCCTGTGATCAACACTACACCCAGTGATCAAAACTACACCCAGTGAGCTACACTATACCTTGTGATCAACACTACACCCAGTGATCAACACTACACCCAGTGATCAACACTACACCCAGTGATTAACACTACACCCTGAGGTCAACACTACATCCTGTGATCAACACTACACCCAGTGAGCAACACTACACCCAGTAATCGACATTACACCCAGTGAGCAACACTGGGCGTATTGACTTGGCTCATAGGTTGATACATACTCAGTTTCTCGAAAATAGATTCATACAGTATGTGATTAATATCCATGTTTTCCAGGGTCACAGATAACCTAGTAAAAAAACGTTTATTATGGTCCAAATCTGGCACCGTCTAGCAAAGCCATCTATCCCGAGGATTACGTATTTGCTGGCTCAATGTCCGACCGGAGAATAAACTCCAGCGTTTTAGAAATATATAAGACTACAACTTTCATTTAGCCCATAAACTGTACGTTGGCTAAACGTCTGTGAAAGTCGACTTTGACACGTTTTAGTACTCGCTGGGCTCTGGGCGGTTGAATAATGGCAGTCTACGTGCTTCTTCTTATGAGAACAAGAAAAACAAAAAAATACTTGCCTAGACTAACTGGTTACCTATGTTTAAAATTTACTCAATCAAATACCTTAAGATTTTCAAGCAACAGTAAATCATTGCTCATCCATTTTGCGCCACAGTTAATACCTTAAGTCAAATGTACACCAGACCAGTTTTGTGTTCTCGTTCCAAATCTTCGGGATAGATTTCTTCATTGAATATTACTTCTATTGTTCATGTATTTTCTACTGCCCAGAGCTAAATTTCTGCAAACACAATTATGTTTGCATAAATCAAAAGACAATGCCCTCCTGTGTGGTTTTACCAAACCGATGAATTATGTGCCGGGCCCAGCAGCTGTTCTTGAATGGCCGAGGCCTGAAGCAACCTGCGTTTTATACACTAACAACTCTACTGCTTGTTCCAGAGGCAAGTCTTTCTTCCTTCAGGCTGAAAGGTCACTTCAATAAACTCTCCACTCAACCCCTTAGAAAGGATGTGATCTCTGTGTGCTGAGGCTGCCAGAAGGGATGTGATCTCTGTGTGCTGAGGCTGCTAGAAGGGATGTGATCTCTGTGTGCTGAGGCTGCCAGAAGGGATGTGATCTCTGTGTGCTGAGGCTTCTAGAAGGGATGTGATCTCTGTGTGCTGAGGCTGCCAGAAGGGATGTGATCTCTGTGTGCTGAGGCTGCTAGAAAGGATGTGATCTCTATGTGCTGAGGCTGCCAGAAGGGATGTGATCTCTGTGTGCTGAGGCTGCCAGAAAGGATGTGATCTCTGTGTGCTGAGGCTGCTAGAAGGGATGTGATCTCTGTGTGCTGAGGCTGCTAGAAGGGATGTGATCTCTATGTGCTGAGGCTGCCAGAAAGGATGTGATCTCTGTGTGCTGAGGCTGCCAGAAGGGATGTGATCTCTGTGTGCTGAGGCTGCCAGAAGGGATGTGATCTCTGTGTGCTGAGGCTGCCAGAAGGGATGTGATCTCTGTGTGCTGAGGCTGCTAGAAGGGATGTGATCTCTGTGTGCTGAGGCTGCCAGAAGGGATGTGATCTCTGTGTGCTGAGGCTGCTAGAAGGGATGTGATCTCTGTGTGCTGAGGCTGCCAGAAGGGATGTGATCTCTGTGTGCTGAGGCTGCCAGAAGGGATGTGATCTCTGTGTGCTGAGGCTGCCAGAAGGAATGTGATCTCTGTGGGCTGAGGCTGCCAGAAGGGATGTGAACTCTGTGTGCTGAGGCAGCCAGAAGGAAGTGACCTCTGTGGGCTGAGGCTGCCAGAAGGAATGTGATCTCTGTGGGCTGAGGCTGCCAGAAGGGATGTGATCTCTGCCCAGAGCCCTGAGCCCAGCAAATGGAAGCCTACTCCAGAGAGGTATGATGCATTTCTACTCCCATCATCAGACCTCATATATCAGATACACGTAAACCACCTCCAGTTCTAGAACATGGGAGGACACAGCCCAGGTCAGCCAGGATCAGTTCAGCCCAGGTGAAGGATGAAGGAGAGGGGAGAGGAGATCCTCCCCTCTGGGTACCAGCCACTCTCATATGTACAGAGATCCACTGAGTCCGACAGAGGATTTAAAATAAAACCGAGGGAAGGGAAGGAAGAAGAAAATTGAATTGACATGCAGGGCGAGGGAGAACTAGTTTCAGAATAAAAGCGTGCACACGTACACACACAGTCCTCTTTAATGAAGTCAAGCAGGAGAATCTCAAACAGAGGAACTTCAGCGGCACCTTAAAGGAATGGAGTGTGTTTCTTTTAAGGAAACTCAGGGTCACCCCGCCCGCATGTCAACAGCCCGCCCCCACATTGAAAACCCGCCCCCACATTGAAACCCCGTCCACACATTAAAACCCCGTTCCCACATAGACACCCCACCCCCACATCAACAACCCTCCCCCACGTTGAAACCCCACCTTGACATCAACACCCCGCCCCCACATCGACACCCCACCTTGACATCAACACCCCGCCCCCACATAGACACCCCACCTCGACATCAACAACCCTCCCCCACGTTGAAACCCCACCCCCACATCAACACCCCGCCCCCACATAGACACCCCAACTCGACATCAACAACCCTCCACCACGTTGAAACCCCACCCCCACATCAACACCCCACCCCCACATCGACACCCCACCTTGACATCAACACCCCGCCCCCACATCGACACCCCACCTTGACATCAACACCCCATCCCCACGTTGAAACCCCACATCAACACTCCGCCCCCACATCGACACCCCACCTCGACATCATCACGCCATCCCCACGTTGAAACCCCACCCCCACATCGACACCCGCACCCCCACTTCGACACCCGCACCCATGAGCAGGAAGACAGGACCTATAAGTGATGTTCCCATATTTGTCTGGAAGTCTTCTGTGCAAGGCGGAGGGCTGAGGAAGTAGTCTCACGCAACACTCTGTTCATAATCACATGCAGAGCGCTGTACATCACACCATCACCATGGAGCAGTTGGTAGCTCAGTTGGTAGAGCGTTTTGTGTGTATGACGTCCTGGGTTCAAATCCCAGCTGCTCCCCAGGTCGCTGTTGCAAATGAGAAATTGTTCTCAATCTGTTAAAATGAAGGTTATGAAGGTTAATTTAATTTAAAGAAAATCACCAGTCATCTGTCATCTATGGAAAGAGGAATACCAATATAATTTCCCTGTGTGAGCTGTCTTACACTGGATAATATGAATCACACCTTGTCCTCATTACAGATGTAGGAAGTTCAACTAGCCATATCTTGTGCTAATGTACGGTGTAAGAACTAGAAGTCAGACCCATCACCTAGTCCACAACTGTCTGGGACAGAACCCATCACCTAGTCCACAACTGTCTGGGACAGAACCCATCACCTAGTCCACAACTGTCTGGGACAGAACCCATCACCTAGTCCACAACTGTCTGGGACAGAACCCATCACCTAGTCCACAACTGTCTGGGACAGAACCCATCACCTAGTCCACAACTGTCTGGGACAGAACCCATCACCTAGTCCACAACTGTCTGGGACAGAACCCATCACCTAGTCCACAACTGTCTGGGACAGAACCCATCACCTAGTCCACAAACAGACACCCACACGCAAACCATAAGGATGTCTACAAGGGGTTGGGGGTAGGGGGTATGAAAGTAGGGGGTAGGAAATACAGGATAGTGTGTAGGAGGTAAGGTGTAGGAGATTTGGGGTAGGAGATCAGACAGCCAGTCAGCTAGCCAGCCAATCAGCTAGCCAGTCAGTCAACCAGTCAGCTTGCCAGTCTGGCAACTAGCCAACCAATGAGTCAGCCCAACACAGTTACCCATAACCCACACAGCTGTGTTTCTTGGCGGTTATAACAGGTCTCTGATCATCTCTCTGAACACACTTGCAGAGCGCATATGAGGTTTTGTTGCCCCTTGTCGTAGCCCACACCTAGGCTCATGTCTGTCTGTCACCACCAGGACCAACCCTGTGGCTGCCTCTGAAATGGACCGTTTGGGTCGGTCACACAGACGTGACAGGGGAAATGTATTTGATCTGGGTGAACGCAGGTGTTTGTGGGAGGTGTGTGTGTGCATGAGTCCTTTGCATGCCCTTTTCATGGTGTGTTTGTTGTGAGAGTCAGCACACAGTACACCTCCCGCAGCAAGCCCCTACCCCGCCTGAGTTGGGACTCATGGAGGGCTGAGGACAGTACTAGACACACAGGACAGTACTAGACACACAGGACAGTACTAGACACACAGGACAGTACTAGACACACAGGACAGAACAGGGCAGTACTAGACACACAGGACAGAACAGGGCAGTGCTAGACACACAGGACAGAACAGGGCAGTACTAGACACACAGGACAGAACAGGGCAGTACTAGACACACAGGACAGAACAGGGCAGTACTAGACACACAGGACAGTACTAGACACACAGGACAGAACAGGGCAGTACTAGACACACAGGACAGAACAGGGCAGTACTAGACACACAGGACAGTACTAGACACACAGGACAGAACAGGGCAGTACTAGACACACAGGACAGTACTAGACACACAGGACAGTACTAGACACACAGGACAGAACAGGGCAGTACTAGACACACAGGACAGAACAGGGCAGTACTAGACACACAGGACAGTACTAGACACACAGGACAGAACAGGGCAGTACTAGACACACAGGACAGAACAGGGCAGTACTAGACACACAGGACAGTACTAGACACACAGGACAGAACAGGGCAGTACTAGACACACAGGACAGAATACACAGGAGAGTCAATGTCACATATGGAGAGTAAACATCACACCTGGAGAGTCAATGTCACACCCGGAGAGTGAACATCACACCTGGAGAGTGAACATCACACCTGGAGAGTAAACATCACACCTGGAGAGTGAACATCACACCTGGAGAGTTAACGCCACACCTGGAAAGTAAACATCACACCTGGAGAGTAAACATCACACCTGGAAAGTAAACATCACACCTGGAGAGTGAACATCACACCTGGAGAGTCAACGTCACACCTGGAAAGTAAACATCACACCTGGAGAGTGAACATCACACCTGGAGAGTGAACATCACACCTGGAAAGTAAACATCACACCTGGAGAGTGGACATCACACCTGGAGAGTGAACATCACACCTGGAGAGTGAACATCACACCTGGAAAGTAAACATCACACCTGGAGAGTGAACATCACACCTGGAGAGTGAACATCACACCTGGAGAGTCAACATCACACCTGGAGAGTGAACATCACACCTGGAGAGTGAACATCACACCTGGAGAGTGAACATCACACCTGGAGAGTGAATATCACACCTGGAGAGTCAACATCACACCTGGAGAGTAAACATCACACCTGGAAAGTAAACATCACACCTGGAGAGTGAACATCACACCTGGAGAGTGAACATCACACCTGGAGAGTGAACATGGAGAGTCACACCTGGAGAGTGAACATCACACCTGGAGAGTGATCACATGGAGGGTGAACATCACCTGGAGAGTCACACCTGAACATCACACCTGGAGAGTGAACATCACACCTGGAGAGTCAACGTCACACCTGTAGAGTGAGTCACACCTGGAGAGTGAACATCACACCTGGAGAGTGAACATCACACCTGGAGAGTGAACATCACACCTGGAGAGTGAACATCACACCTGGAGAGTGAACATCACACCTGGAGAGTGAACATCACACCTGGAGAGTGAACATCACACCTGGAGAGTGAACATCACACCTGGAACATCACACCTGGAGAGTGAACATCACACCTGGAGAGTGAACATCACACCTGGAGAGTAAACATCACACCTGGAGAGTGAACATCACACCTGGAGAGTGAACATCACACCTGGAGAGTGAACATCACACCTGGAGAGTGAACATCACACCTGGAGAGTGAACATCACACCTGGAGAGTGAACATCACACCTGGAGAGTGAACATCACACCTGGAGAGTAAACATCACACCTGGAGAGTGAACATCACACCTGGAGAGTGAACATCACACCTGGAGAGTCAACATCACACCTGGAGAGTAAACATCACACCTGGAGAGTGAATATCAGACCTGGAGAGTGAACATCACACCTGGAGGAGAGTGAACATCACACCTGGAGACATCACACCTGGAGAGTGAACATCACACCTGGAGAGTGAACATCACACCTGGAGAGTGAACATCACACCTGGAGAGTGAACATCACACCTGGAGAGTGAACATCACACCTGGAGAGTAAACATCACACCTGGAGAGTGAATATCACACCTGGAGAGTGAACATCACACCTGGAGAGTGAACATCACACCTGGAGAGTGAATCATCACACCTGGAGAGTGAACATCACACCTGGAGAGTGAACATCACACCTGGAGAGTGACATCACACCTGGAGAGTGAACATCACACCTGGATCATCACCTGGAGAGTGAACATCACACCTGGAGAGTGAACATCACACCTGGAGAGTGAACATCACACCTGGAGAGTGAACATCACACCTGGAGAGTGAACATCACACCTGGAGAGTGAACATCACACCTGGAGAGTAAACATCACACCTGGAGTGAACATCACACCTGTAAACATCACACCTGGAGAGTGAACATCACACCTGGAGAGTGAACATCACACCTGGAGAGTGAACATCACACCTGGAGAGTAAACATCACACCTGGAGAGTGAACATCACACCTGGAGAGTGAACATCACACCTGGAGAGTGAACATCACACCTGGAGAGTGAACATCACACCTGGAGAGTGAACATCACACCTGGAGAGTGAACATCACACCTGGAGAGTGAACATCACACCTGGAGAGTGAACATCACACCTGGAGAGTGAATATCACACTTGGAGAGTGAACATCACACCTGGAGAGTGAACATCACACCTGGAGGGTGAACATCACACCTGGAGGGTGAACATCACACCTGGAGAGTGAACATCACACCTGGAGAGTGAACATCACACCTGGAGGGTGAACATCACACCTGGCTGTGGGTCACAAGATTTTCCAGACTCACTCCCGGTTGTTGACCCCTACCCTCTGGATTTGGAAACCACAGGAAATAGCTATTTGGTCCCAAGAACAGAGACAGGTGGGAAGAACATGAGCCTGTAGGCCGCTCTCATGAGGCTGGAGCTGAGAGTCGTTGGGAAGAACATGAGCCTGTAGGCCGCTCTCATGAGGCTGGAGCTGAGAGTCGTTGGGAAGAACATGAGCCTGTAGGCCGCTCTCATGAGGCTGGAGCTGAGAGTCGTTGGGAAGAACATGAGCCTGTAGGCCGCTCTCATGAGGCTGGAGCTGAGAGTCGTTGGGAAGAACATGAGCCTGTAGGCCGCTCTCATGAGGCTGGAGCTGAGAGTCGTTGGGAAGAACATGAGCCTGTAGGCCGCTCTCATGAGGCTGGAGCTGAGAGTCGTTGGGAAGAACATGAGCCTGTAGGCCGCTCTCATGAGGCTGGAGCTGAGAGTCGTTGGGAAGAACATGAGCCTGTAGGCCGCTCTCATGAGGCTGGAGCTGAGAGTCGTTGGGAAGAACATGAGCCTGTAGGCCGCTCTCATGAGGCTGGAGCTGAGAGTCGTTGGGAAGAACATGAGCCTGTAGGCCGCTCTCATGAGGCTGGAGCTGAGAGTCGTTTAGAGCATTCATTCATCATAGCTGTCAGTCTTGTGTTTTCTGATGAACGCTTTCAGGATGATCCGCTCCCTGGTTCCTGTGAAGGCCTCTTTCCACTCTAACCATTCAGCTCCAGTCCCATAAAGGTCCCTGGTTCCTGTGAAGGCCTCTTTCCACTCTAACCACTGAGCTCCAGTCCCATAAAGGTCCCTGGCTCCTGTGAAGGCCTCATTCCAGTCTAACCACTCAGATACAGTCCCATAAAGCTCCCTGGCTCCTGTGAAGGCCTCTTTCCACTCTAACCATTCAGCTTCAATCCCATAAAGCGAGCCGGTACACCTTAGAGTACTGTTAATTACAGCGCTGGCACTGGACTGTGACCAGTGTTAGTAGAGGTGACCCCTGCTCTAATG